CTAGTTCTGGTTTCACTCCAAGTGGATAGGAGAGATTCTTTTTGATCTACTTCTATGGTCTTCTTTTGAGTTTCTTGGGTAATGTTACTATTTCTGTCCAGGCACTGTGTCAATACTTTGTGATACTAACAGACCAGGTGTCAGCACATGCCAGAGCACCAGACCTATTCACTTTTGTATTAGCATCAAAGTGATTGTTAAACGTATAAGAGGGTATTTGATGTTTTAACCTCATGAAATCCAGTGGGATATTACTTGCATTTTTTTTCATTTATCTGTTATAATGTAGTAGCAACTAAATAACGCATCAAATGAGAAAGAAGCCTTATGGAATGCAGATGAAGAACATTAACAGAAAAAGTGCTAATTTCAAAGCAAGTGGTAATTGCATGTGATGATTGGAGGTCAATGACTCAAAATGCATTCCTCACTCAGTCATCAAAGAAAAAGCCCATGCAGGAAGTGACATTATCAACTTGTTTTCTGTGAGAAGATGCTATAAGAATGGATTCAAGGAAAGATCCTTCATCTCTGGACTGTTTAGACGTTTACAGGGAAGTGTATCGGATACACAGCAGAGATCCTCATTGACAATCTCGAAACCCTGAAAAGACTTTTGGGAAATGCAATTTATTATTTCACTGCCACCATTTGGGATTACAAACTGTGACTCATCTGTGCATATATTTTACCTGCTTTAAGAATATAAGAATGGTCATACTGGGTCAGACCAAAGGTCCATCTAGCCCAGTATCTTGTCTTCCTACAGTGGCCAATGTCAGGTGACCCACAGGAAATGAACAGAACAGGTAATTGTCAAGTGATCCATCCCCTGTCGCCCATTCCCAGCTTCTGGCAAACAGAGGCTAGAGACACGATCCCTGCCCATCCTGGCTAATAGCCATTGATGGACCTATGCTCCATGAATTTATCTAGGTTTTTTTTTAACCCTGAAATATACTTGGCCTTCACAACATCCTCTGGCAAGGAGTTCCACAGGTTGACTGTGCGTTGTATGAAAAAACACTTCCTTTTGTTTGTTTTAAACCTGCTGCCTATTGATTTCATTTGGTGCCCCCTAGTACTTGTGTTATGAGAAGGAGTAAATAACACTTCCTTATTTACTTTCTTCACACCAGTCATGATTTTACAGACCTCAATCTTAGTTGTCTCTTTTACAAGCTGAAAATTCCCAATCTTATTAGTCTCTCCTCATATAGCAGCTGTTCCATACCTCTAATAATTTTTGTTACCCTTTTCTGAACCTTTCCCAAGTCCAATAAATCTTTTTTGAGGTGGGGTGACCACATCTGCATGCAGTATTCAAGATGTGGGCATACCATGGATTTATATAGAGGCAATATGATATTTTTGTCTTATCTATCCCTTTCTTAATGATTCCCAACATTCGGTTAACTTTTTTGACAGCCGCTGCACATTGAGTTTTCAGAGAACTATTCACAATGACTCCAAGACCTCTTTCTTGAGTGGTAACAGCTAATTTAGACCCCATAATTTTATATGTATAGTTGGGATTATGTTTTGAAATGTGCATTACTTTGCATTTATCAACATTGAATTTCATCTGCTATTATATTGCCCAGTCACCTGAGACATCCTTTTCTAGCTCTTCACAGTCTGTCTGGGACTTAACTATCTTGAGTAGTTTTATATCATCTGCAAATTTTGCCACTTCACTGTTTACCCCTTTTTCCAGATCATTTATGAATACGTTGAATAGGACTAGTCCCAGAACAGACCCCTCAGAAACACCACTATTTACCTGTCTCCATTCTGAAAACTAACCATTTATTCCTACCCTTTGTTTCCTATCTTTTAACCAGTTACCAATCCATGAGAGAACCTTCCCTCTTATCCCATGACTGCTTACTTTGCTTAAGAGGCTTTGGTGAGGGACCTTGTCAAAGGCTTTCTGAAAATCTAAATACACTGTATCCACTGGATCCCCCTTGTCCACATGCTCATTGACTCCCTCAATGAATTCTAGTGGACTGGTGAGGCATGATTTCCCTTTACAAAAAAACATGTTGACTGTTCCCCAACAAATCATGTTCATCTATGTGTCTGACCTCTCAGTAACTCTCATTTCCTTTTCTTAGCTAATAAACTTTTAGTTAGTTTGCTATAGAACTGACTACCAGCATTGTCTTTGGTGTAAAATGGATATTACCAATTCATCTTGAGAAAGTGACTGGTTTCTTGGGACTGGAAGCATATGTGGTGTAATTTTTGGTATAACTGATTTTTTGTTAAAAAGTCCAATTTGGCTGGGTGGCCAGATAGAATAGAGAATCTAAGGGAATCTATGTGAATCCATTGTAAGGCTGGTATAATGATCACATTTGTCTCTGGCTTGGTGAAAATTTATTATAGAACACATCACCAGCTTAGGGTGTCTGCCCTGTTTTCTGACAGTCTGTCCTGAGGTAGGCACTCAGCGTTGAGAGCGACTCCAGAAGTGCACTGGAACATATGGAATAATGTATGCACAGAAATAAAAAAAAACTTTTGCGTTGCTCAGTGATAGGGGAAGAGATAGCTTTATCTTTTCAGGAAGGAGGTGGCTTGATATTCATACAGGGCCAGATTCTGCAAGGTGTTGAATATTCTCTGTTTTTGTTGAAGTAAATAAAAGTTGAAGATTCTGTGATTCCAGGATATGATTAGGCAAACCAAACGGAAATGTCCAAGTTCCATCCTCAGCAGAGGACAAATATTATTTATTCTACGGTGACTGAGAGGCTGCTTCCCTAGAGAAAAAAGTGAAAGAAATTGGTATAGTGAAGTGTGGTCCATTTTATCTAGATTCAAAATATAAATGAACCTTCTGGACCATTTTCTACGAGTCTAAGGGTACGTCTACAGTACAAAATTATTTCAAAATTATTCTATTCGAATTTTTGGAAGCTATTTTATACACTCGGTCATCTGTGTCCCCACTAAATCATGTGAGTTTGGCGGAGTGTGTCCACAGTATCGAGGCTAGCATCGAATGTCAGAGTGGTGCACTGTGGGTAGCTATCCCACAGTTTCCGCAGTCCCTGCTGCCCACTGGAATTCTGAGTTAAGCTCCCAGTGCATGATGGGGCAAAAACATTCTTATGGGTGTTTCTGGGTGTGTGCCATCAGTTGCTCCTCCCTCCATGAAAGCTACAGCAGACAATCGTTTCACACCTTTTTGGCTTTCAGCAGATGGTGCAGTACGGTTTCTCTCCTGGTGCTATGAATCTACCTCACATTTCCTCTCGTCTTTCTATGTAATCTCTATAAGTATCTACTCTTTCTCTTCTTCATCGACCGCTTCTGCTGCCAACTCTGCTCTGCCATCATGAACCGAGCAGCACAGCTTCCACCGCTAACTTTGCTCTCCCTCTATTGCTGCACTTCTGAGCTTCTCCATGTTGTCTGTACTGGGCTTCCCCTCTGTGAAAGCTACAGAAGACAACCATTTCTGCCTTTTTTCAGCTATCGTGAACTGAACAGCACCTCTTCCATTGCCACTCTGCTCTCCTATGTTTCGCGCCCTTTTTCTAGGATTATCTGTGCAGGCACCATAGTACGGCAAGCATGGAGCCCACTCAGATCTCTGCTGCAGTTTTGACCATTGTAAATATCTCATGCATTATCCAGCAGTATGTGCAGTACCTGCAAAACCGGGCGAGGTAGTGACGACAACATGATTACGATAGTGATGAGGACATGGACACAGACATTCCTAGAAGCACGGCATGTGGCGATTGGAAGATCATAGTGGTGTTGGGCCAGGTTCATGCAGTGGAACCCCAATTCTGGGCCCAGGAAACAAGCACAGACTGGTGGGACCGCATAGTGTTGCAGGTATGGGATGATTCCCAGTGGCTGAGAAACTTTTGTCTGCGTAGGGCCACTTTCATGGAACTTTGTGACTTGCTGTCCCCTGCCCTGAAGTGAAATCAATGGGTATTTTCCTAAATAAAAACTGCTGCAGGTTCAGGCCTCAAGAAGAGCCCATGGGCTACCTTTCCAGCTGTGCAAAGTTTATACTGGATGCAGTTGAGAGGACCATTTTCTGCTCCCCCAGTTCTGGGGCCTCTGGGCAGAAAAGACACCTATGTAATTTAAAACAGTTTATATTCAGTCACAGAAATGTCCATTCTTGGCCCTGCCCCATCTGCTACATGTAGACTCCATCAGCTGTTGTAATAACGGGGCCTACAAATTAACCCTACTCATGAGCCTACCTGAGGGATTCTTATTTTGCAGTGAGAGAGCCAGAGAAAGAAACTGAAAAACTGGTAATAAAATTTCTCAAGATGAAAATTACTTCATTTAGAATTTTTTCAATAAAAAACCCTAAATAATATAAACATTTTCTGTGAAAATTTTTAGTTGGGTCAGATAAACTCATTTTTAATTGAGTAGCTATGATGAAAAATTTAAGGCCATCTCTAATTATAAGTCATATCAGGAATTAATAGCAGTTAACATATACAATACAATGCATTGCAGAGGAATATGCTAGCAATAGAACTAAGAGTAATTTTTTCAGTCCTATATTAACTTTGTTCTCCTTTGTGACCACCTATCCATTTTGATGGTATTTCTCTCTCTCTCTCACACACTCACACACACACAAACATACACACACCACCTTCGATCTTGTGTAATCATTTATAACTGTGCAAAGTGAGTGACTTTTGTATCCAACAAAAGTCAGGATAGTAGCATTTCAAAACCATTGTCCATTCTGGACACATATAAATCCTTACACATGGTGCAAAGGAGTCGAGAATCAGGCTCAAAATAATTTTGTATCTGTCATAAATATAAAGGGAAGGGTAACCACCTTTCTGTATACAGAACTATAAAATCCCTCCTGGCCAGAGGAAACATGCTTTCACCTATAAAGGGTTAAGAAGCTAAGATAACCTCGCTGGCACCTGACCAAAATGACCAATGAGGAGACAAGTTACTTTCAAAGCTGGAGGCAGGGGCGGGGGAACAAAGGGTCTGTCTGTGTGTGTGATGCTTTTGTCGGGAACAGAACAGGAATGGAGTATTAGAACTTATTAGTAAGTAATCTAGCTAGAAATGTGTTAGATTTCCTTTTGTTTAAATGGCTGATAAATAAACTGTGCTGAATGGAATGTATATTCCTGTTTTTGTATCTTTTTGTAACTTAAGGTTTTGCCTAGAGGGATTCCCTGTGTTTTGAATCTGATTACCCTGTAAGGTATGTACCATCCTGATTATACAGAGGTGATTCTTTTACTTTTTCTTTCATTAAAATTCTTCTTTTAAGATCCTGAGTGCTTTTTCATTGTTCTTAAGATCCCAGCGTTTGGGTCTGTGTTCACCTATGCAAATTGGTGAGGATTTTTATCAAGCCTTCCCCAGGAAAGAGGGTATAGGGGTTGGAGGGATATTTTCAGGGGAAGACGTCTCCAAGTGGGCTCTTTCCCTGTTCTTTGTTTAACATGCTTGGTGGTGGCAGCATAGGGTTCAAGGACAAGGCAAAGTTTATGCCTTGAAGAAGTTTTTAACCTAAGCTGGTAAGAATAAGCTTAGGGGGTCTTTCATGCATGTCCCCACATCTGTACCCTAGAATTCAGAGTGGGGAAGGAATCTTGACAGTATCCAACTTTTTAGAAATATAAATTAATATATTATATATTTGCTGTTTTCTTTTACTGGATTTTTTGCTGCAAATATATTTGGATCTCTCTTTTCAGGACTAAGGTTCTGTATTTTCCTTTATCCTAATTCTGATGTAATATTTGTATTTAGCACCATTTAAATGCTTAGGGTCTTTACATAATCAAATTCTATTATTTTTTTCATCTCTCCAAGACATTACCTTTTCTGACTGTCTCTTTAGCTTCAATTTTTCTCTCCTTTGTTTCGCTTTACTTCATTACCATTTTCATTATGTCACTCTGGTTTCTTCTCTCTTCCCTTTAGTTATTTTACATTTACTGTTAAATCTCTCTCTCTCTCTCTCTTTCTCTCTCTCCATCTCTTATTTTCTCTTTGTGATTAGACCACTGTCTTTTTCCTTACTTGCATAAATCAAAGATACACAAAGCAGTCAGTCTTTATTCCTTCTAGATATTCTCAGCAGGAACAGTCATAATTTCTGTTTGCAACAGAGAACCACAGATCAGAGCTCCTGTCTGAACTGCCTCAGGGTAGCACTGATCGAACACAGATAACACTATGGTCACACAGACAGCAGGAACTCAGATGACCAAGAAAGTTCTTGAGTCCCACGAGAGAATCAAGGTTGCCCAACAATTGTACACTGTACACTACATGCCAGATCCTCAACTGGTGTAGCCTCACTGAAGTCAATGAAGGTATGCTGTTTTATATCTGGCCCTGTGAATCTACACTGTCTTCATCACCCTGGAAGCAGAATTATAGGGGGCATTTGTAGTAATTGTTGCAGTTAGCTTCCCTAACAATTTCCATTACAAAATATGTTTATAATCTTTTTTGAGAAGCTCTAACAGCACTGTTTTTTTTTTACAGGAAACACTTGAAATTCATTGGGAGAAAGCCTTTGGATCAGATTAGTGCCTATTCTTTGACCCAATAAATTCATTTCAGGCTTAGCTGGGTTATAAACTATTTAAAATGGTCATTTCCCTTGTGCCACTTGCATCATCAGCAAAAATGTTGGCAACCTTCCAGAAATAGTAACTGACTACAAACATTCTAAGCTAAGGCAAAGCCCACCACCAAAGCAGCATTGCCGCCATCACCACCACCACCAAATGCTGCACTGGGAACACTTGGAATACAGCCCAGCTGCTGCCATAACAAATGTATTTGGAAAAGAAGGGAGAGAGATGGTTGGGCTCTCCTTGACAACTGCTCCTCTTTATTCCTCCCCAAGATTCAGCATATGAATAACAACCTTCTCTCGCTGTCAACTCACAGTTAGACCTGTAGCACAAATGGCATAATTCTGTCCTATAAAGGACAGTCTTGTGGCCCATTACTAGAGATTATAACATTGTTAATGATGTGGAAAATGCAGAAGTGTTCAATAAATATTTCTGTTCTGTATTTGGAAATGTATATGTATGCACATGTTTTTTTGAAAGAAGCAGGATAATGTAGTTGTATCATATGAGGATGGTGAAATACATTCCTGTCCATTAATTACTACGGGCAATGTTAAAAAAAAACATCTATTAAATCAGTAGGCCCTGATAACTTGCGCCCAAGAGTCCTAAAACACCTGGTTGAGGTGATCTCTGGTCAACTAATGATGATTTTGAATAAATCTTGGAACACCTGGAAAATTCAAGAAGAGTGCTAATGTCACACCAATATTCAAAAAAGACAAGCAGGATAACCTAGATAACCACAGGCCAATTAGCTTAATGTCAATCCTTGGCAAAATAATGGAAAAGCAGATATGGGATTCAATAAATAAAAAATTAAAGCTTAGGAATATAATTGATGCCAATGAACATGGTTTTATGGAAAATAGGTAATGTCAAACAAACCTGAATTCATACTTTGATAAGATTACAAGTTTGGTAGATAATGGTAACTGTAAGATGTACAGGTAGATTAAATACATATAGACCAGTGGTTCTCAAAGACCGTCCACCGCTTGTTCAGGAAAAGCCCCTTGTGGGCTGGACCAGTTTGTTTACCTGCTGCGTCCGCAGGTTCAGCCGATTGCGGCTCCCATTGGCCGCGGTTCGCCACTCCAGGCCAATGGGGGCTGCGGAAGGGCGGCCAGCACGTCCCTTGGCCCGCACCGCTTCCTGCAGCCCCCATTGGCCTGGAGCGGTGAACCACGGCCAGTGGGAGCCGCGATTGGCTGAACCTGTGGACGCGGCAGGTAAACAAACTGGTCCGGCCCGCCAGGGGCTTTCCCTGAACAAGTGGCAGACTGGCTTTGAGAACCACTGATATAGACTTCTGTAAGGCATTTGAATTAGTACTACATGTCATACTGAATAAAAAGTTATCATTATACAATATCAACAAAGTACATGTTAAATGGATTAAGAACTGGCTAAGTGACAAATCTAAAAAATCAATTATCAGCTGGAAATCATAATTGAATGGGTGTATTTCTAGTGGGGTTCCACAGGGCTCAGGACTAGGCCCAACACTATTCAACATTTTCATCAATGATCTGGAAGTAAATATAAAATCACTGCTAACAAACTTTGTGGATGACCCAAAGATTGATTGGTGTAGTGGTAAATAATTAGGACAGGGCAGTCATACAGAGTAACCTGGATCACTTAGTAAAACAGGCCTATTCAAATAAAATACATTTTAATACAGCCAAATGCAAATGTTTTACCTTTAAGAACAAGAAATACAGGCCATATTAACATAATGGGGGACTGTATCCTGGAACACAGTGACTCTGAAAAGGATTTGGGGGTCATAGTGGAAAGCAACTTAACATCGGTTCCCAGAGTGATGCTGTGGCGAAAAGCAATCCTTGGATTAAAAATAAAACTTGAAGTAGTGAGTTAAAGGGAGGTAACTTCACCTCTGTCTATGGACATTGGTGAGGCTGATACATGAATGGTGCATACAGTTATGGTGTCCACAGAATAAAAAAGGATGTTGAAAAATTGGAGATGGTGCAGAAAAGAGCTACAAGATTTGAAGGCTGGAGAAAATTCCTTACAGTGGGAGACCTAAACAAAACCCATTGAGCTCTTTATCAAGAAGGCGGCTTCCTAGCCACATGATTACAGTATCTATACAGGGAGAAAATACTGGGTACTAAAGGGTTCTTTAATCTAGCATCAAAAGGCATAACAAAACCCAATGGTTGAAAGCTGAAGCCAGACAAATTCAAATTAGGAATAGGGCTCACATTTGTAACACTGAGGGGTATTAACCACTGAAACAAACTACCAAGGGATGTGATGTATTCTCCATCTCTCATTGTCTTCAGATCAAGACTGGATGTCCTTCTGGAAGATATGACTTTGCCAGACACAAGTTATTGGACTCTGTGACAGACTGACCCTATGCTGCAATATTCTGAACAAACTTTATTGAATTAGCTTTAACACCTTTGGAGTCCATTGTATTAAAAATAGAATGTGCATGTGTTATTGTGGAATTGTATGTATGTCCCTTCTCTAGGACACAGACTAATGCAATCTCTGAAAGGTATTAGGAACTTCAAAGGACTTTTTGGAACAATACCTCTGAAGTGGATTTCCTAGGAAGTACCTGTGGAATGTGAATGACTCACTTTGAATCCTCCCTTTTCAAGCTATGCCCTATGGAGGAAAGCCTATTGTCTGCTGGTTACCTGCCCCTGAAAAATCCACATCAAAGACTCCTGAACTGCATAAAGAGTGGACAAAATATTTAGTGCACTTGCTTCTTCTGGGCTGAAGTTGTGATGAATTGGTAGCCACAAGGAATCGCTTTGGGTGCTGACTTGAAGGACTGTTCCTGCCAGAACCCATGCTAGAGTTGGGGTGGATTCTAATAAACCTATTAGTGTGTACATAGGTTCTTTTATTGTTTTTAATACATTTTCTACAACACTTTTTACCTTAAGAATAAAGTAGGCTTGCACAGGAAGTGCTAAAGAGAAAGCAAGCAGGTTCTGCTTAGGCAGCCTATCTCTGCTAAAGATTACACAGTGAAGGAAGGAAACTGTGCTGTGTGGGAATACCCCAGTCAGAAGGGAGAGAGATGCGGGTCTCCACCCAAAAGGCAATGGCTGGGGATCTGGAAGCCTGAGAGTGACTGCCCTTGCTGGACCACTGAGGGGAAAGACAGGTGCAGTTGCTCTGAACTGTAACAGACTCAGACAAGGATAGTGGGTGAAATTCAATGACATGTGACATACAGGCAATCAGCTGGGTGAATCTAATGGTTCCTATGACCTTGAATTCTATGAACCTATAGGAATATATGCAAAGTCTGTCTCTGAAACAGTCTTTCTATGGTATTCTGAGCAAATCACTGAAATAAAATGTTAGAAATTGGCCACTAAACGTGTGTTTCTCAATTTCAGGGTGCCCAACTTAGGACACCTGGGAACTGATTTGCAGAAGAGCTGAGAACTCTCAATTGCAACTGAAATTGATGGGAGTTGAGAGTACTCTGGCAGTATAGTCTGGAAGAATGAACACATATCTGGGAGTCATGTGGTCTTGAGCTCTACACCTGGCTCTGCCAAGTATTCATTAGGTGGTCTCTGGCCAGCATCATTGTCTCAGTTTTTCAAATGTCAAACTGGGATAATAATTCTCTCATCTCATGTGGAAATAAATTCATTAATGATTGTAAGGCACTCATAAATAGAAGTAATGAGTCTAGAAAGAGCATGAGGCAATGACTACTTTAATGACGAGTGCTGCATTTGGATGGCACACAATAAATAACACTAGATATTTGGCCCCAGGCATTAAGGATAAAGAGAAATATTGAATAGATGCCTCATTCCCTAAGCACTATTAATCCAGTGAAATTAATGGGACAAGGATCATGTGGAAAAATAGCATGAGATTGTTTAATTAAACACTGTATCATAATGCATACACACAACAGGGCAGAAATAAGATTGCATGAGCAAACTGCAGTCTTGAATTTCCTATTTTTTGAGTGCTTGCTTTTGCGATCTATATGACATGCCTTTTAACTGGTGGGGAGGGATTTGTATGTAATATACTATTATAATACTGTGTAACTGGACCTCCTTAAAACATGAGGTATTAAAAATACAGTAGGTTGATTACTATGAGGTTAAATGTTCCTTTAAATTACAGCTTGCATTTATTCTCCTTGGTGATATTAATGGTCACAAGTAGTTGCACTATGAAGCAGGTCCACCTTCCTGACTAATTAATTCTATTTTAAGCATTTAATTTAACTGAAGTACTAGGCATCTGGCTGATTAGCTCTCTTTGTTTCTCTCCGTGACTAGCAGTAACATATTGTTAATTTCCATGGTACTATTTTGATTGTTCTCTTGCTATTCACTGTTGCTAAAAAAAAATACAGTAATAATGTAGAAATAAGACCGTTTGAGATATTTAATCAAGGAGTGATACTACTTTATAAAAAAATCCTAATTAACCTTACAATAGAAAGAGGTTAATATAAACCCAAGGGAAATATTTTATACCAGGCTCTCACATTCATCTGTTTTACAACAGCGTGAGTTCAGAAGAGAGGAGAATCAGGCCTGGAAAGTGAAAGAATTGGGATAGAAATTAAAAAATAAAACAGAAAATATTAATAATAAAACTTTACATATATAGGATTTATTTTTAAATCCAAAGCATTTTACAAACATAGAGCCAGATTCTGCCTCACTTCCTCACAATTTCCATTTTCCATGAGCACTCTCACTGTAATCAAAAGGCCAGTGCCTCAGCTGGTATAAATTCACTTCAGCATAACTATAATGATTTACACCAGCTCTGGATCTGGCGCACGGGGAGTACTCTAGAGAAAGTACATTCACCGCATGAATTCTGAAAGTGAGAGAGAATCAGGGCCTATGTTTCCAACAGGTTGTAATTGACCTGGGAATGCTGGGAATAGATGACAACAGATGGATCACTTGATGATTATCCGTTCTGTTCATTCCCTCTGGGGCACCTGGCATTGGCCACTGTCGGAAGACAGGATAGTGGGCTAGATGGACCTTTGGTCTGACCAAGTACAGCCATTCTTAACTTCTTATGACACTTACAAAGCTACATGTGTCAGAAAGTAGGGATTCCTCCCACTTGAACTGTTTTGTAAGGCTAACTGCAATTAAAGCCTCAGCATAGAGGCTTCTCTATGGAGAAACTATGCAGGGATTATGCAGAGCCTTTTCTCCACTGGGCAATAAAGCTGGCTGGACAAGTAGAGGGTATTATGCAGAATTCCATAATGGTATTACAAATTACTTAACCTCAGCCCAATCAAGGAGAAATGGGAGGCCCAGGATCTAGGCACCCTCTTTGCCATGTAAATAGTAGAGTTGTATAGAGAATGGAAATTCCATTTTGGAGAGGATTATGAAATTTAAAATTTTGTTTTACTCCAAATTAGAACAAAACTCAAATTTGAAAATTTACCACAAAAGAAGATTCTGAAAAAAAAATTGTTTTGGGTCAAATGAAACATTCTAATGTCAATTGTTTATAATGAAAATTTGTTTTGAAAGGAAAAGTTAAAATGTTTCATTCTGAATATGCTGAAATGGGACGTTTTGACATTTTTGGATCTCAACATTTTCTCTTAAACAAAATTTTGACAAAACTGACACAATTTCTCAAAGTGTATCAGTTTTGACTGAACTGAATTTTAGAATAGAAAATTGTTCCATCAATGTTTTGTTTTGTTTTGGTTTGGGTTTTTTTGGACCAGCTCCGTTAAATTACATGATCTAGGTCAAAGTCTTTTGAGTAGAGCTGATTGAATATTTTTTCCAATGAAAAAGGTTTACTGTTGTTCCTGATGGTAAGAGGGGTCTTACTAAATACAGATTTTTTAATGAAAAATGTACTTTTTTATGGAAATATTTGTGTTTTTAATAAAAAAAACCCTGGAAACGTTTCCATTTTTGGTTATTGAAAAAACAGAAATATTCCATTTA